TATATATATATGCTTGTGGACAGCTGAGACTAATATTGAGGTCCGGCTATTGGGCAAGCCATGGACCTAGGACTGGAGGCTTAATCCCTCCCAATGCTGTACAAACCCTCCTGTCTCCAGGACCCAGAACAGAAGTTATTAGGATTCTTGGAAAACAAAACATTTTTCTCCACATCATTCAAAATGGTTTTATTCTGTATGCATATGAAACCTTGTGGAAACTTCACAGATCCGAACCAGAGGATTTACCTTTCTTTGGTGAGCATAAAACTGGCACAGCTTCTGAATTTTAAAACCCCAGTTTCTGAACCCAGAAAAAGCTAAGACTCACTGCTGTATGTCATTACAGGTTGCTCACTAAAAAAAACACATTTAGTCAAATACTTCATTGGCAAGATCCCCCCCTCCCCCCCAATAGTTCTTGACTGTTCCCAATAAACTTAAGAGACGTCTCCTAAAACTGATACTTTTAAGGTATGTCAACTGTCAAGGTTGCCATTGTGCCTATTTCAGCTGAATTTTCAAGCCCTTAAATGGCTGGTATCATATCTGGTTGCATGTTCAGCACCATGGTAACTGCAATACAAAAAGAGGCTAAAATGGCACCTTCCTTGGCTGTAAGGGATACGAGGTTGTAGTTCCGCTTTAAGTGCAGAGGTCTCTCCACCTTAAACTCTGATTTACATTTTCCAGCAACTACAAGTTCTGAAATATCAGTTTTGGATGTAGTTCCTGCTTGACTATCTCCTGTTTAAAGCAGGGGTTCTTGGTGTAACTGTCAAACGACAAGAAGCGGATCCTACATTTGCACTACCAGAAGTTTATCAGTTTGCTTGCTTATTACAATCTGGCCTTAAAATAACAATTTTAAACCTACTATGCTCCTGTAATATTTTTTTGATTCACAAGTGGATTATTAACTTTAGATTTATCTCAAAAACAAGTTGTTGAAAAATAAACTTGATGCAAAATAGCAGGTTTTCCACAGGAAGATCCATTATGTTATGCAACTGCCATTCTAAAATGTATATGCTTTAAATATCTTTTGTGCATTTATCTCTGTCTGCTTTTCCTGCAATGCTTCCTAAGCTTGGTCACTGTGTAAGTACCTTCTGTGTCTTATCTCTGTCTCTCCCCTTTAATCTTCTTTGCTGTATTATCTATGTAATTTAGCAAGCACCTAGCACCTCTTAACACTTCTTACATTTAGCATTAAATACGTTTTTGTTGCATTCTTTTTCTCCGTTAATTTATTGGCACAGAATTTTCTCTGCCACATTTTACATAGCTAGAGCTGCATAACTGATTGAAGACTGGCTTTCACCGACCATCATTTGAATACAAATGTCTTCCTTTGTGAAGCAGATAGTCATTTATTATACGTATCAGTGCGTGAATATTCTCTAGTGTACCTGATTTATAGAACATCTCGCATTTATGCAGCAAAGACTTGTGCAGCTATCTTTGGTCAGAGCAAGTACAGAGGAAATATTTTTTCAATAAACTCAGTTAATTACATTAATTCTCACACATTGTGTTCAATAACATCTACATCAATAAAGTACAATGATGCTTTGTTTTGCCGTGATTAGAAATGAAAAATAAATCTGAGACATTTTTAGCTATGGTCCCCATCCAGAGTGTCTTTCCAGGAGTTTGAGGATGCATGTGTAAGCCCATTGTCAGGACTTTTCTGTCTGCACAGGGAAAAAACAGACTCTTCTTCAGAATGTGACTTTCCACTTGGTGAAGTTGCCACAGTTTGCCATGATTGTGAATGTTTTACAGCTTGGTAAATACAGGCTCACTGCACAGTGGATAGTACATGTCATCAGGTTAAGTACACAAGCCCATGTGGCCTTGTGCTCAGTGAGAAGTGTTATCTTTTGAACAGTGTTCCATATTCATTACAGGCCACATTTACCATCAAGGAATTAAAAATGAAGGGTTTGAAAGAAGTAGTATTGGGAGAGTAAAATGTACTCTTCCCAATACTTAAAGGGGAACTATGGGGTTAGGGCTTTTTCCCATAGTTCTCCAAAGGGGAACGGGAGGACACAAACTAGCGTCCTCCCGTTACCCAAAGCTCAGTATACCGCGAGCTGCAGCTCGCGGTATACTGAGACGCCGCAGCTGAAACGGATCCCGACAATTATGTCTGGAACCGCCCAGCTGCATAAATGACAGCTGTACCCTCCCCCGTCCGTTCCGCCAGTCAGTGCTGGAGGATCGGACAGGGGTAGGGGAGAATCCAGTCACTCCCCTGTCACGGCTCTCTGCAGTGACAGGATCGAGAAGTGAGCGAGTGCCGGTATGTGTGTGCTCACTTCCCGATCGACTGAGCCGACCTTTGACAGTTTAATTGTCACAGGTCGGCTCAGATTATGAGGCTGAGTGAAAAGCACTCACCTCATAATTCTCCTTTAAAGCCGGCATGCAACACTGCAGGTGTCGCATGCCGGCTCTATAGATTGAAAGCTGAGCGATCAGAAACCTCTGACGGTCAGTCAACACTCCCCGCAGAGATTCCCACCTCCCCTCTCTGTTCCTCCAGTGCTCATTGGAGGCTCTAGACAGACAGAGCCAGCTGTCAATCAGGCAGTGGGGTGGCACCCGACCATATTGTTGGGATCTTTCCCAGCCGCAGCACTTCTCTGTCAGCAAAGAGTGGGCAGTAGCCCGCTGTCAGCAAAGAGTGGGCAGTAGCCCGCTAGATGCGGACTTTGGGTCACAGAAGTACATTAGTAAAGGTGCACCTGAACAAGAGGTGTGCAGAATATTACAGTTCATTTTCTTGACAAAGCAGCAACAGCCTGCGTAGAAAAGCCTGCCCCCTGCCATCATGCTGTGGAGAAGTGGAAGCTCTGTGTGGAAGCAGTAGTGTCTGCAGAGTTCAGAGATACACCCTGCTGATTTAGACCAATAAGTCTTCAATCAGCAATGCTCATGCTCATTCCTGATTTGGATCACTATAGGTTTGACTCCATAGGCGGCATGCGGAACTCTGCAGAGGCAGAGTGAAATGTAGAAAAACAGCACTGGATAGTAAATGCATCTACAAAGTATATCACATATCTTTTTGACTGCGTGTAAAACCTCAACTAGAGGATTGCTGTTTGGATCATTACATTAAAAGCGTTATTTAATTTCATTTTTCCTTTAATGCAGTGTTTACTTTGTGTTTCATTAATTGTAACTATAAAACATAAATGACAAGCTGTTACATTGTGATTGATAATAATTCTAGCAAAACAAAGATGTTTCTTAGCTGCTTAATTTCATGCAATAATTTTCAGGGAAGTTAAATGCTTGTTATTGATGCATATCAATTTTCTTATAAATAATTCAAAAAACTAAAAGATGTGAATCCAACCTGCAAGAAAAGATGAGTTTTAACAGTTTAGTTGATCATTGCTTAAAACTAGATAACAATCTCTTCAAAACTTGGGACTGCCACTGAGATCTAGGTTAGTTGCAAAGATAGCATTTCAGTTTCTACATTTCAATACCTAGTATAGATGCACACCACTAGCCTTGGTTATCTGTGGGTTACGGCTGACAAAGATTGTGGGCCTCTGACCTATAGTATGCTCTGTTTGTTATCTTTACCTCATGCGTTTTTAGTTATATACTTCACATATAACCTGTTTGTGACAAGTAGTTCTTATTAGTTATATTTGTGCCTTGTATTTAGCTAAGATCAGGAGGAGCTCAAGTACTAGAAGGCTGCATAGCAGAGATTCACAACATCACCAGCTTGGATATCTCTGATAATGGTAAGTGGTTACTGTTGCATGTACATGCAGTTCGCAAACTATTAAAGTACCCATAGACAATGCATAATTGCTAAGTCCAGTTGGTGACCCTGATATCTATGGATATCGGCAGCCTTCACCAGGCAACTTCTTATAGGGGCAGTACTTTGTGTTTTTTCCATTAACGAAGATTCCAGTGTATTTTGGAAGTGCCACATTTAAGGTCTGCACTAGTCATTTGTACCTACATTCTCTCTGTCTTTTACCATGACATTGCTGGCATGTTAGGTGTGACAAGCTTAACTATCATTCACCCCCTCAGAACCTCACCATAAGCTGTTTCCCCTGATGCATTTTCTATTGAAATCAATGGAAATATGACGATGCACATTAAGATGCGTTGTTGCATACTTTGAATGCGCCTTACAGGGCATGTTTTATTGAAAGCCATCCACATAATATCGCACATGTTGACATATGCCTTTATGCCTTGGCAGATGTCATGACACACGTTAATGTGCAACTTAACGCGATGTGTTGCCCATTGATGTGTTTCCATTGATTTTATTGGAAAACTCATCAAGGAAAAACATGAAGGTCTCAATCCAGTGGTAGTCATTGCACATTGCTCCATTAAATTGATGCCTTTTACTAGCTGCCTCTTTGATCTCAGATGGATAAATGACCAACTTCTGTCAAACAAAATCTGTCATGTTTTTATTTCTCTCTATGCCATCATTGGAGAGATTTTGACTCACTTCCTGTCTTAGTGACATGGTGTCAGATTGATAGAAATGATCTCCAATGGGAACAAAGAGACCAACAACAGCACTATTTTAGGTTTTTAGTGTTTTTCAAGTTGCCCTGCTGTCCAAAAGACAGAAAGTGAGAGGAAATCTCCCAAATAAGATCACAGACAGCAATACAAGCTCCATTATTGAATTACAGTAGCAGAACAAGTTGTCAGTCACCATGACATTGTTCACTTTCCACACTCTACCTGTGAGTGTCTTTCTAACTACTGATCACTTCCAAAGAAAACAACAATAATTAGTTGTTTGACTTGTATTGTGATTTGTGTGTAACAGTTATTTAAAGCAACCTCTTACTTTTTTTTTTAGTTAATTTTTTGTGATGACATAAATTTGAGGTCTCCATGCTGCTAGCAACAGTCACGTAAATTTGAGTTGAAAAAAGCTTGATAACTCCAATGTAAAGGACATCGAAATTCCCCAAAAATTCTTTGTTAGCCAAAGGTGGGAAGGAATACAAATGCCAGTTTGGAATGTAACCACTACAGAAAATAGGGTTCATTACAAGTCTTCTTCACAGCATATCATTTTTCTCTAACGTTCCATGTGCGCTTTATATGGTCTAAATGTTCGTTTGTTCTGTAACTTTTTTTGACAGATAGCAGCTAAGCAATAAAAACATGGAGGTTGAATCTGATTAGGTGCAAGGGTAATGCAAACACTTTGATAAATAAGCTCCAAAATCTGTATGACTCCATTTCATTGGTTTAGAGCAGTGGTTCTCAACCTGTGCAACCTCAAGACCCACATTTCTCCTTGGTCATTAAGTTGAGACCCAAGTTGGAACGCATGGTATTGTGCATTCCAGTGCGGTGAATGGCAACGCACGGTAGGTGTGATTATGTGGTACAGTGGGTTAATCTGTAGAGGTGCCGGGAGCCAGAATGTTATGGCTCCCTAATACAGTGGAAGGCACGCCGCGACCCACTGAACACAGGGTTGTGACCCACCAGTTGAGAACCATGGCTTTAGAGCACAGTTGAGTGCAGCTCAACTTGCATTCAGAGAAGGGCAAAATGGGAAGTTGATCAGTTTTTAGTGTGAGGTCTTATTGTATTTAGGATTATTATTATCTATGCAGTAAACATCAATGCAACAAATAGCTTCCTAATATGAGTAAACTGATAATACCCCCTGTGTGTGTTGAGTCTATTTGTCTTTTCCAACAGACAACCATTCTCTAAAGAATAAATAATCAATTTTCTGTAATAGACTTGTTTAAAAGCATGCTAAAAAACAGTGTCTAAGTAAATGGTTGCTACTTATCTACTATGATTGTGATGGAATACTTCTCTATTTTTTACAGGTTTGGAGTCTGACCTTTCAACTTTAGTAGTGTGGCTCAGTAAAAACAGATCAATAAGACACCTGGCGCTAGGGAAAAACTTTAACAACATGAAGTCCAAGTAAGTTATTCCCTGAATTGCTTGCTCTGTGTGACTACAATACTTGAAACTATTTTGCCACAAACGCAGTATGTCTTCTTTTGCTTCTGTAGAAATCTAACCCCTGTCCTGGATAACTTGGTGCATATGATACAAGATGAAGAATCGGTGAGTAATGCCTCTTGACCATCTGTCACATTACCATCAATCATCTAGCAAAAAACCTTGTGTATTAGCCCCAACAGGCTTCCAGGGACACTCCTGAATGGGCAATCTTGGTGGAAATGGCCCCTATGTTGAATTTTAAAGCAGATTTCCCAAGAAAAATCTAGCTCCAGATATGTTTTTCTGTTATCAACCCTCTCTCCTCTGAAGAAATTTGAAAGCTGTATGATCTTGGGGTACATGTAATTCTGAGATTTTTCAGAAGAAAGGTGTTTTACCTGTCCCTGCACCTTTGACTAATCTCAAAAGTCTATGGAAGAGATAATATATTTAAAAAAACACACACACACCAGTGTGCTTTGCATAATTTTCCCTGCTGCTTGGTGTGAAGTAATCCTTGATTTCTCAAGGCTGCATATCCCATCAAGCAATGATGATATATTGTGGAAAGTTCAGATGTTGAGTTCTGACAGCAGGCTTAGTTAGAATTGTGAAGGAAGTGCATATTCACTGGACTGGGTGAAATTGTGTCAGTGCACTGAGGAAGTACATCCTATGGGCATTTTCAGTAAGTAAGTTTACAAATGTCCAGATTGATATGATATTGATATTATTAAGAGTGCTTATGGAAATTCAATTATTTATTAGTAAATGTAAACATTACATTTAGAGAAATATAATAAGTAGGCAACCTGTGGTTGTGACTTGTGTTGCAGCATGTGTTTAAAACACAATGCAGCACATCCTGAGTGTCGGAACACCATTACTTTTATAGCAAAATGTCACTTACATTTGAACAATTTCCATTTGTCAGCCACGTTTGTAACCAGTAAGGTGTTCACAATATTATACTTCCAATAAACAATATGTAATTGCACTACATCTGATTTAGCTTAATACTTTCATGGGCACCTATGCTAGACTTTGTTCACTGCTCAGATAATGCTTGCAAATAAATTGGGAAGATATATACAACTGCAAAAAAGATGGTGACACAAAGAAAGCTGATCCTGCAAGAAAGGGGTTCAGTCCCTTTCAGAAAGTCCAAAAAAGTTTTATAGGGAGCATTGGCATACATTGTTTGGGTGCTGAGTTATAGAGACGAGGGAGGAGGTATTTCCTATAATAACCAAACCAGAGTTGCTTTAATTTTCTGACTTGCACATGAAATTGACAGATGGAATGTTACCAATTATGGTCTCTTTTTTGCCAGTTTTAATGAATCATCCTTGAGTAGAGGCTGATTCTTCCATTGCATGCTTTCAGCTCCATGGAGTAATACAAGGTTTGGAAATTTCACTCTTCCAAGAAGCTGATGTCAGAATAATTCCTGTAACAATAGCATCAGTGTTTTGAGTTCTCTGGGAAATGTGTTTTTTCTTGGATTGAAATTCTACCCCTATTAGCATATTTCTAAAGTAAATGCAACATGTAAGAATAACCTGCTGGAGAGTTTAAATATGCAAGAGAACCTCTATTAAAATGCTGACTTTCCCCGCAGAGAGGGCTGTGCATTTTTACAGCTTCCTCCAGTTTTCTCAAAGCTTTCTCTTTCATCTGGTAATATCCTTTTTATTCACGCTCCTAATGTGTGTCTTCACTGTTACTTTTCATCACGGAGCGACATAGAGAGAATGCCTCTGGCTCATTCGCTATTAGATCCACATTTGCTTTATTTTCTTCTTTTATTTGTTGAGGTCAATACTTTTCCAGTATTTAAGGCTTGGCTGCACTAGTGTGTTTTGCTCCCCTCTCTGAACTCTCAAGGTGTGAAATGTTTCAAATTATATAATACCACATTCTATACATCTTCTGCCAAATATTTTTTTAGCTTAACTTGTCACATTGGAAACATTTACATACAGAATGAGTTTGACTGTATAAATCACCCAAAGCAGTATGTAACATTTAATAAAAAGTCAAGGGTCACCGAAAGTATCAGACATAGATTGCATAATACCCCATGCAAAGAAAAGGTTTTGGTCCCCTTGGATATTTTTCCTTGTTACTCCACTTGTTTGCCTTTTCCTTTACTATGGTGCCACCTGATCATAGTCTCCTGCCATGTGTAAATTGCAGTAGCTTAGATGCCAGCTTAGTCTGTGTTCCCTCTCATAACCCACCACTTGCTAGCCTCTTTAATCCAGCTGTGCCCTCACTGGCACAATTGGAATAATTTCTATTCATTCGTGTATTGCTAGCACTAGCCAAAAAAAATCCACAGCAAAACACTTGCCCTTAAGAATATTGATAACAGCTTGAATTGTTGCGAGATGAAGAGAAGAAAGAAAGAGGAACTAGCCAATAAGAAAGCAGAAGTTCAAGTAAAAGAAAGTCAGCATCTGATTGCTCATTTTTTTTTTTTACAGTTTTTTAATAGTTTTTTGTACTTTTAAGAAAGAATGGCAATGGCTTGGGAACGTTTTCACTGTAGTATGTTCTTTCCAACAGATAATATGCAAAAACACATCTGAATGTCTTACTGAGTAATCTAAAGTAATGTTATATTAGATTTAGGTAAAATAGGCCAAAAATGTGCATATATATATATATATATATAATTCTGACCTGAAGAAGAGGGGTTCACTCTCGAAAGTGAAAGAAGAGAGCCAATCAGAATGAATCTCTTTGGACTTCCAGTTGCGGTCCCATCCTGAATGGATGGATGGCTGATAGGAAATATGTGCAATGGCATTACAGCCAATTTAGTTTTTCATTTTAATATTTTAGAGTTGCACTTCTGCTTGAAAGAATGAAGAATGTAATAAGCAAGTTGTTATTATCAATGCATATCTAATTACTGGTCCTTTGTTTGAAATACTCAATATTATTGTTTCTTTATAAGACTTGGTTTAATCTAATTTTAGGATAAATAATATATAGCACAACAGTTAAATCTGTGTCTGTATTGCTTGTTCAAACCCTAATACCATAAATAACAGGTTAATAGGAGTATATAATGAAATTGGAAATTCTAGAGAAATTCTTAAATTACTCTTTAACTAAACCCACTAGATTTTAGTAGACTAAATCTACTGTAGATTTAGTAGACTAAAATCTTCTGATATTTTATCAACTAAGACTAAAACAGATGACCAAAATATGACTAAAAGTAAATGGCATTTTAGTCAAAAGTATGACTAAAACTAAATCGAAATTTGCTTTTTAAAGTTAACACTGCGGTGGAGGCAGTGTGATGCTTTGGTCAAAGTTCTACTAGGCAACATTGGCTACTGCCATTCATGTGGATGTTACTTTGACACATACCACCTATCAACTAACTTCAATTCTCTTTTGTGCTGGAATTTACATTTTCCTTTCATGGTCATACAAATGCATAAATTAATCTTTTGACTGTGAAAAGATAAGAGCACCGGAAAAGAAAAATCCAACCCAACACACGTATCACCTCAGATGGGTCTGAAATAAAGGCCAGCTAGTTTATTGAGACCCATGATAGTTTCTGTAATTCTGTTTGGTATTTTGTAATTTTTTTTTTTTTTACTTTTTAGTAATTCTTGTTTAAGTTTGCCACTGAAATGTGAAATGTGCAGGAATACTACATGAAATGTAAAGTGATGTATTGTCGTTACAGCCCTTACAGTCATTGTCTCTGGCAGACTCTAAGCTAAAGACAGATGTGACAATCATTATAAATGCTCTTGGTAGTAACACATCACTGACCAAAGTAGATATCAGTGGGAATAGCATGGGAGATATGGGAGCTAAGATGCTGGCTAAAGCTTTGCAGATCAACACCAAGCTCAGGTGAGTCCTTACTTTCCCATATATACAGTATATAATGTGTGTGTTAAAAATGATGTGTGTTTGCCTGCAGGATTTTTTTTTCTACTTGTACCTTCAATACTTGAAGGTAAACTAAAAATATATATATAGAAACAAAATATATACAAATATATTTTAAAATTAAATAAAAAAAACACAATTTAATTTCTTCGAAAATAAATGATTACACGACAATATGACACATAGTTATGTCCTGCAAACATTACAGAAGAACTTTGGGCATAATTATTTTTAAGTGCTCATTTGTCTGGAGGCGAATATTAAAAAGTTACATTCACCTGATCCTTGGAACCATCTGGATGCTACTCTGGTCCCTGCTGCCTGTGTCCTCCTCCACTCTAGCAATGGTCCCTCTGCATCCACACATCCTATATAGGTTATAAAAATTGATGATTCACAGGACTTTAGTTTGTCGGAGCAGAGAGGGAGCGAAGCAGTATGGACCGGTCTAACAGCCAGCCGGTTCAGATGTGCATAACTTTTTTTAAATTTTCCTCCCTAGACAAAAATGAAAACTTAACCCATGCAGTGCAAGGATAGCCTTACTGCAAGGGTTAAGAATAATTATCAGGGCTCGAAAATCCACTAGTCTGTGACGAGCAGACAGTGGAGCCCGACGAGCAGCTTCCGGGCCGGCCGTTGTAATTACATGGCCGGCCGGGAGCTAAGCGATCGAGCGTCTCGAGAGACGCTCCATCGCTTGTATCAGAAGCTGTCACTGCCGTTGCCGGTCCCGAGATCCGCTGTGCTCGATGCGGCCGGGATCGGCACGGCTCTGTGACAGGAGATCAAAGGGAGTTCAGTACACGAACTCCCTTTGATCTCCCTTTTATGTATATTACATCACTTCCTGCATTCAGTGCCACTCTCCAGCTACAGAAGCTGATGAAGCCGATCTCTGCTTCATCAGCTTCTCTGGAGGTCCCTAGGTGACATTAGGGGTCTTGGAGACCCCTGATGTCTCCCTAAAGAGGACCTGTCATGTAAATTGGCTATCCCATAGGTGGCTTCTTAGCCCCCCATGTAATAGCAATAAAGTTGTATGTATATATAGTAAAAAAAAAATACCCCCCTTGGTGATTATATACCTCCAAAAGAAAGCTATATCTGTCCCCAAACTTTTTTAACATAAATTGCAAGGCTATAGTCCGGTCATGCTGACTGGTGAAATTTTTGACTGACTGGTGAGACACTATCAAATTGGTTAATAATAACATTCTATGCAACATGAAAGACCGCACAAAAAAATAGACTTCCTCCAAAGATAGGAGCATGGAAATAATAAAAAAGTATGTCTCTTTCCAAAGGTAGGCTTGCAGTTTTTCTAAGAATATAAGGGGCCATTTTAGATACAAGTACAGAAAACAAAAACGTGTGGTAAGCGCACTACTGTAAGATTGGGTCGATGTTTAAGTGCAATTTGTGGCATTAGGTGAGCTGGCTTCTCAAACAGGGAGAGGAACCCTGCATACACAATCAACGAAAGACAAAACAGAAGCGCTACAACCTTTTAAATAGCTTTATGTTAAAATGTAATATACGTGAATCATATAGGAACTGAGGTGACTCACAGTTTACTGTTGAAGAGTGGTGGTGCCTGCAGATGAGGAGGAACTGCTTGGAAACCAGGGGAGAAAGGCTGGACGGGAAACGCTCACGATTAGGGACGGCGTCGGGCTGCCGCAGCTCCACGCGTGTTGGGCGCTGGTTGTCACTGTCAAGGGCTGAAAGGTCTGAGCTGGCCAGGCTGAGCCTTTGGCGGCTGCATGGGAGAAAAGCCGCTCTGCTGCAGTGTACGGCACTGTCAGTGAGCGGTATATGAAAATGACAGCGATTGTCAGTGGGAAGCTGAAAGGCTCAGGGGTCGTCTTACTGAGTAAGAGGGACTGTCAAAGGGCTACGCGTTTCATATACCACCCACTGACAGTGCCGCCCACTGACAGTGCCGTACACTGCAGCAGAGCGGCTTTTCTCCCATGCAGCCGCCAAAGGCTCAGCCTGGCCAGCTGAGACCTTTTCAGCACTTGACAGCGACAACCAGTGCCCAATACGCGTGGAGCTGCGGCAGCCTGACACCATCCCCAATCGTGAGCGTTTCCCGTCCAGCCTTTCTCCCCTGGTTTCCAAGCAGTTCCTCCTCATCTGCAGGCACCACCACTCTTCAACAGTAAACTGTGAGTCACCTCAGTTCCTATATGATTCACGTATATTACATTTTACACTGAAGCTATTTAAAAGGTTGTAGTGCTTCTGTTTTGTCTTTCGTTGATTTTAGATACAAGTAGAGCTTTAGTGGGGTTCTTCAAAGGGTCCATTTGTCGGTGCATGATTTCCTGTCATCGTTGCTGTCTGTTCTCTGTATATTATTAGATTTTATATAATTGTTTGTATGTCTGTGTTTTGGTAGTACAGCTGTACCCATTGAACATAGTTCATTTTCTAAACACTCCTTATGCAGCTTGCTGTTAATATGCTGCCTTTCCTGCATTAAAATCCGATGCCCAATATTTCCTTTGGTCCACTGTGTACTTTTGCAGGTGATATGAAGTCCAGCATTTGTTCTATTTAGAGCAGTGAGGGGCAATTTTTACAGTTTGAAAGATCATGCATGTTCTATTTTTTCAGTTTTTAGCTTTCAAGTTACAGATATTTTGCAGCAGTCTCTCTTTAGTAGCACTTTTTTCATCCTAGTTGCTATCAGCTAGTCTGTACTTTTGCATGAAGTACATCTGCTCAGGTCTTATGTTAGATGTGGAAGACATAGGAAGATCTGTTGGCAAGAGGCAACCAACCTGATTGCTGTGCTGCAGGGAACCTTGTCTTTTCTCCCTAGCTCCGCTTACATTTGTATGCAGACCATGTGCAGTGAAGGGACCTTTCCAATGTTGCCAGTGCATAATAACAAGCACATTTGACACTTGCAAGAGCTCCTTTTTTTTTCTTGGGTGTTAACTCTTATGTAGCTGTATTGGTTCCCAAGTCATTTTCAGATCTTTTATTGCTTGCAGGTGTTAAGCTGTTTACAGCTGGTGTTAGTGTGGAAGTCCAGCAAAGACCCTGGTCTTATTTTTACTACCTTACAGTCCCACTGAAAGAAATTATATTGTGTCATTGAACTGACACATTGTAAAGCTGTTGTACAGACCAAAAATGCTATTATTGTGCTTATAAACATTTATATTCCTAGCTAGAGGCTACTGGAACAAAAAGTAAGTAAAAAAATCTGTAGATGGCTGGCTGAAAAAAGCATTATATTAGTGCTAGTGCTACTAGTGTTAGCAGAACTACAGCCTCCTTTCTGTTACAAGCAAAGAAGGTGCTATGAGTGGCATCACAAGGGGGGTGCGGCCTGCACCTTGGAGACACCATTGGAGGGGTGGCACCAAAATGACAGACAGTCATTTTAGTGTCAACCCCTCTAGAAAGTCGGGCAGTGTCAGGAGGGAGGAGGGGACCCCGCGGCATACCTCATCCCGCCGGGTGAATGTTCCCTCCTCTCTCTACTGGCGTCCATCACTAAGATAGCCGCCGGAAGATGTCAATTAGACAGCCGCACATGCGTGATGACGTCACGCGCTCTGAGTGGCACACGGCCTCGGGACGCCCCTTGGTGCTATCTTAGCCTCTGAATTGCATCTGCCGTGGTGCTGCACCTGTGATCAGCTATGACACCAGTCAGTTGAGGGCTTTAAAATTTGGTTGAGAGCTGACATAATCACACTGGTAACTTTGACAGTTGGCATGCCTTAAAATTAACTGTTTTGGAGAAATTGGTGGGTAAAGTTCCTCTTTAATATATGGTGCTAGTTATGATGCAACCAGCATTGAAGTAATAACAAAATACACCAATAGTAGAATTGAATCAAAGATTCAGATCTTATATTTCTCATATTCAGGTAGCACCATTAAGATGAAAGACAAGTGACAGGATGAATTCTCTTCGTATATGTAACATCTTCTTTCTGTTTCTTATGGTAGGACTGTGATATTGGACAAGAACAACATAACAGCACAAGGATTCCAGGACATTGCAGTAGCTTTAGAGAAGTAAGTATGGCAATGTTGATACAAATACTAAAGAGCTTTGAAGTATCAGCTGTATAAGCTGGAGACCTTTCATCCAATAATTTATTTTCACTTATTTTCAAATGTCACATTGTCTTGCATTTACATTTATCAGTGGCCTTGTAGAAAGAACACATTTTAGGACCGGTGTTTTAGTAGAAGTCAATTATCACTACAGTGAAATTCTGGAATCTGGGAAAAGATTGGAGCATCAGAAGGAAAACTATGCAAACAGAGGGAGAGCATACAAACCTCATGCAGATGTTGTCCGTGGTGGCAACTGAGCTCAAGCAATCAGTGCTGCAACACCACAGCAGTAAGGGCTTAAAGGAGAAGTGTGAGGAGAGAAAACCAAACTCTCCCCGCAACGTAGAACCAGTGTAGGCCACTGCAGCTGTTACTTGTCGGCAATATGCTAAGAGCTGATTGCTCATGCTCTATTCTCCCTGCAGAGAGCAGATATTCCCTGTTTCCCTCTGCAGGGATTCCCTGCTCCCCAATTCGTTCTCCAGCGGTCACTGGAAGGACAGACGGGAGGGGGCAGGCACCGCTGGCTCTGGATCTAGCAGAATTTTGGCTTTAGTTGCACTTTTATCTATTTAATAGTATTGTCAGATTGGCAATGATTTTATCATTTCCATTTCTCAATCTTCACATGTTAAGAAATGGGTGCATTACAAGCCTCATTTTCACACACTTAACAATTTGCACAATACTCAGCTAAGCTTATTCCACAAGATAAATGGCAATGTGGATTAACCTGTAGGAGCCTGATTGTATATTTCTTATATTTAAATGGCACTTACATTTTACACATTGCTTTACACAGCACATAAATGCATTAATTTAATGTCCCCTAAAGGCGCTTACAGTCTGATGCCCCTGCTACACCCAGACAACATGGTTCATGATTGAGAGAAGAGCAGTTAAAATGTCAGCATATTTTACCCCATTGCATAATCTTTTAGACATTTACAGATTGGGTGTAAGAAATCGGTTGAGTGGTTGATCTGCATTACTGTTCTTTTTCTTTTTGATCAGCTTTACAAAATGAGTTTGCTCAGTGATAATTTTTGATTTCTAATTTTTATTTCATTGCTAAAATGCATTTAGTTTTGTTTTGGATATTAAAGAAAAAGATTAGAACTCACTATATAGATTCACCCTCTATATTTGTTATTGTGATCACTGCCACCTTGAGGAAAAGTGATGAGAAGTCCAAAATGTTATAGTTGTCGCCGGAAAAAAGAGGTGCGGGTCTTCCAATTGGTATCATTGGTATAATCTTCCAATTGGTACATCTGTTCTGTTGACAGCTTTCGAAAGTCTATATTCACACAATGAGATTTGGGATTTCTGCAGCAGGAACATACAGATTTCTATGGATGAAATCCCAGGTGTTCTGTTTAGATGCGGCCTCTGTAACTGTTTTGATCGCATCTGTGAGCAGCAGTCCGCATGTAATTGTATAATTGTATAAATCTTTGAATGTCCGTTATATGCATCTGGACACTATACAAGTATTATGTTATATGGCCATTTCGCTACAAACCATGTTTAGTTCAGGTCTTTATTTTATTGCGGTTCTTCTTTTTTTTCCCCCTGAATTCCCAACTTCACTGTGCCACTCTCCTAGACACTGGTGTGTGTGAAATTTGGCTCAGATGAGAAAATTCCTGTCAGAATAACATTTCAATGCAGTGCTTTGTGTAGCTTCTGCCAGTACGCTCACTGACTGAAAAGACCAGTGTTCCAGACCGGATGTATTAGTATGCCGGTGAAATAATTGGTAGTGGTAATGTATATAGTTATTCAATGCTGCAACAAATACCAGTCCACATGCAAAAATAAAAAATGACAAGGTGAAAGACATTGTTCTGTTTTATTTCTTTTTAGACATTTAGCAAAATATAGAGACCAATTTTGCACTTGAAAAAATATTCTGTGAGGATGTATTATATAAATATATTAAATATATGTGAAAACGTTTAGCTTTATGTAAATCATCTTATAAATGTGTTTTAATCAAACAACGTTGAAAGTATATATAGTTTATAATTATATGTGTGCATGGGGGCAACTGTATATGCTCATTACATATGCAGGCTCTGTTTCCTGCTTTGCAGTGCTACACAGTGGTCGTGCTTTACGGTTTCTTCTCACAATGGAAGTCTATGTGTCAGCTGACTGAATAAAAGCAATCCACTCCCTGTATGATCGATATATTATTTAGATTTCAATCATTTTTTATTAAAGTTTTTATGAACAAACAATTGACAAAGTTTACAGAGGGTCACGTGTTTGTGTTTTAAACAATGAGTGGCTTGTAATAAAGTCTAGAAACACAAAGCACACAGCTCACCCTTGTCATGCATCCTTGTACTCCACATTCGGTGCAGAGTACCCTCTTCTGGAGTGATTGTCTCAAAAACTGCAGAACCAGCAGATGATAATCTTCCAAAGAAAATCAAACTTTATTCCGCATCATCTCTGCAAAAAACAACCCTAACGCGTTTTTGCCTTACTCAGCCTTAGTCATAGCTGGTTGTGAACCACTACTAACGCCACTAAAATAGCACACTTGCAATAAAGTGATTTGAGTTACAACCATGTTTGTTCCTTACTTTGTGGTGGGCACAAGGAGTTTTCTTGTGTGCAGGGACCAATATATTATGTCGGCATTGTTGAGATTTTATTAGTGGACGAATGCCGTTTGCACAGCACTACCTCCCCTAGATGGTACTGATTAGTTTAGACAAGTCCTGTACTGATCAGTATATCTGTAAAAATAAATCAAAGCAACTGGACTTGTTTCTTGAATATGTTTTGCTGGTCATCAAACTAGCTTTCTCAATTCAATAATTCTGAAAAGCTATTCGAATGACCAGTGTAACGTCTTCTAGAAAAATACTCCAAGTTTTACTCTAAGTAATATTCTAAGTCCAGTTGCTTAGATTTATTTTTACAGATATACCATGACCTGGATGAATGAGAAACTTCACAAACATATGCTCATCAGTGCCATTTAAGGGCGTCAGTGCCATGCGAACGGCATCTGCCCAGCTATATGCCGGGCAGAACTTTTAGAAATGAACCCCTTATCTTATTAAAAACCTACTATTTGTTGAAGTGGATATTTCTGTAAAAAATGACACCAGTGCTTAATAAACTTCCTATTACACATTTGAGTTCTCGGACACACAGAATCATAGGACTACAATCTAATATAACAAGGCAAATGCCTCTGTACCTCCATGACCTGAATATAGCCTTATTTCCACCACCACTAATCTCTATATTAATGCAATAACATAAACAAGGAAGAACAAATGTGTGAAAATATGAGTGTCACATTAAACGTATGGTAATCACAACAAATATAACTTAAAATGCATTCACTAAGTGTGCACTTTAAAGAGTATTATTATCCAGTGACCAAATATTGGAAGGTTGTAGCCTTATTAGTTGACAGTATTAAACAGTTGTATTTGGACAGAGTAACTACAATATTTCTTAATGGTTTTATACAGATTGCAATTTTCATTGTGCAGATTTCACGGTCTGGGCTTTACTGAATCGTGATAAGATTTATCCAGTATAGTCAGACCACTGAAAAGATTTTCTAAATGGTTGATGTGTTTAATGCATTTTTTATCTTGTTCTGTGGTCTGTTTAATAAGGAAGGATGGTTTTCTGTCTGGCCAGTGGAGAGGTAGAGTCATGTCTACCTTGTGCAATATACTTTATGTAATTGTAATTATATTGCTCTATTAAAAGAAGTAATTGTTTGGTGCTAGATAATTTAAACCACTTCATTACACCAAGTGCCAAATGCTGACTAGACAGCTTTATAAAACCTGGAGCTTGCTTGTTTTGCTAACTTGGCATCGAAGTGCTACTCAAGTCAGGTGTCATGTTCTCATTGATACATATGTGGAATTTTGTGTTTTAGGAACTACACCCTCCGGTTTATGCCTATACCTATGAATGATGCTTCCCAAGCACTGAAGACCAACCCAGAGAAAACAGAAGAAGCTTTACAAAAGGTATGTAGACATTTGGCACATTAACTTAACAACACCGCGGGGTATAGTGTGCTCGTGATGGCTTTCTTATAACCCCTTAAGAACGGAGGCAATTGTCTAAGTTCTGAACGTATACAAAATATAGAAATTGAGCTTTATGAATGTTCAGCCATAATTTACCTCTTTCACATTAAGTGCACCCACACATTATATATTGTTTTTTAGAGGACAAATAGGGCTTTCATTGACATGAAATATTTATAAATGAACTGTAATTATATATGGATAAAATCTAACCAATTATGAGAAATTAAGACATGAATTTTTCCCCAAACATGCACACACACATTGTATTGGGAATATCATAGTACTGATATGTTTTACTGCAATAAAACACCCTATTGTATTCTACAATGTAAGTGCTAAAGGAGTTATTTTTTTTTAAATAGAAGAATTAAAAATGGGTAAAACTAACAAAGGGTAAAATTATAATCTAAAGGAAAAAAAACTGCAAAAACTGAATAGTGCCGAAGGGGTTAATTTATTTTAAAAAAAACCTTTGTAAAATGGGTACAATTAAGGGGGGAAAATACAATAATCATTAACAGTACTATTGTACTGATCAGAGTGATCATAGTTATAAAACTGTGATCAGCAATGAAGGGGTTACATTTTTTTTACTTGTCTGATCTTGTCTTGAGTGATCTTGTCTTGTCTTACTTGTCTTGAATCCTTGTGAAGAGCAGTATTGACTCATAAAGAATTCAGAGAGCCTAGGTTGAAATGCACCAGCAGGCAGAGTTTACAGTTGTAAGATATTAAACACTTTTGCTGCTCTCCTTAGCTTTGGGTATCCAACAGAGAATAGTGATTAAAAACCCTAAGATGACACCCTTGCAGTGTCCCTTTTTTGTCTAGGGGGTGGAGTAAAGTAGATTTACTTAACTGAACCTCTCTCCTGCTGTCTACCTCTGGGCTGCTAGACTGGTCCCCTCAGCCTCTTCTTCCCTGGGTTCCGACAGCCTAAGGATCACTGAAGTCATCACGTCTAATGCAGGTTCCATAGATCTGCATTACACGTGAGGACGCTGAGGGTGATTCCACCAGCTGGAAGGGTATGCAAAATGAAGGGCACCGACAGCTGGGGGAGTGGGGTTCAGATAAGTAAATCTGCTTTACTGCAGCTCCTGTACAAAACGAGCACTACAAGCAATACAATGTGTGGGTAGCCCCAGTCAGGGTATTTTTTTTTTGTTCATGCGGCAATGGGATTTAGGGATCTGTAGGTATCTCCTAAAATGCGCAGTTAAAATTCATATATGTAGTTTGCCTATGCTGCCAAGAAATTCATAGCTTTGTTCAGCCAGTCTTGTGAACCAGGAACCAGGAAGCCTGTTCAGCTAGGTCCTCTGAAGACTATAGTGCTTTAAAGCAATACTGCCTGTTCTAGGACCCATCCCAGCCTGTGACTGGACAGGAAGGAACACTAATGAGGTCATACCTGTGCTTCCTCCTCTTGTAACCTTGTCCACTGGTTAACTGACAGCAATATAAAGCAACTCTCCCTCTCCAAACCTCTGCTGCTGCAGGGCATTACAAGTAAATTTACTTTTTAATGAAGACATAACTAGATTCAATTGTGGGTTTTTTTTTCTTAATATCTGCTTAAAGTTCAGATGTAATCTATTGTAAACAATAGCTCAGCTCTTAATTTGAATCTGCAAATATGAACATTGCTAGATACCATCAAAAAGCAAACTGTACAAAATCAGAGTGTCATTTCAAACACGAATTTAATGCGCCCTTGGTAAAATTTGATACATGCACAGGGATACAATTACACATTATCTCTCATACTCCGCCAACAGATACAAGAGCCCATTAATGAAGAAATCTGATACATATACTTCAAATGATCCCCTATCTTCTGAAAACAGATATGGCAGCCCACTAATGGTAATGTTGCCATTAGGCTTACTAATGTCTTTAAAAATAAACACACACATGCTGCCCCCAGCGTCTTTATACTTTCACTATAACTGTGGCTGCCGTTTCATTCATAGGTCCATACACTGCAAAAAATGGTACATTTCTCATTTCAGTATTATTTTTGCTAAGGAGAACCAGATCATTGTATGTGATTTAGGTTATAGTTGGTTGAATATAGAATGTTTATTCTTCTGGCCCATGTCGTGCTGGCAGCTCTGCTGCTGACGATACCTTGCTAAGGACAGAATCGTTAGGGTGGAGCTACTACTTTACCTAATGTGTATGACTCCCCTATGGTTGATTTATTGAAGAATCTTAACTGCTAATGAGGGAGCAGCAAAACAACAACATCCGATTGGTCTACCTAGCGAGGGAAAGACTCCATAGGAGAAGGATAGTGGACTCTGAGGCTCCATTCACACATAGCGGTTAGAAAATCAGCGATGTTTTCCACGTGTTCGTCCACCTGGGACGAAAACGCGCACATTTTAACATACACGCAGATTCTGCACGCTTGCTGCTACTACTATAGCCGGACCACGCAGAATCCGCCCAGAATATTGCGCTGGGATTATTTTACACGATGCACGGTTTCATGTCGCGCAGGTGTGAACAAGGCATATTGGAGTACACTAGTTTTTATGTTTTGCGCAGAAAACCGCTAATGTATGAATGAGGCCTAAGGGGTTGATCTATAAACAATTCGCAGAGCCATTCGCCCTGCAAACCTTTATGAACATTCATAATGAGTGACTATAGGCAAAAATGAACATTCTAAGTCAAAACTCCTATGAATACATGTTCTGGCCAAGTGACTCAAAGTATGGAAGCAATGAGTTTAGAATCACAGCCATTTAATTAGCAGAGAAGGAGTGATGAATAATGGCAGGCACCATGTTTTCCCATGATAGGTTCAAACTTTCCATAGACATCCCTGCTTTTACTTAGAATAATAATTTCCGAAGCTTATTTACACGTACGTAACCATGCCAAATTAGTATTGCAGGAATGTTTCATGTGGTTTGAGTACATTTGTCATTAATTCTGTATATTCCTGTATGATATTTGTAAATCTCCATAAATACTCTGGATTTTAAACAGCATAAGGCAAAGAGCCAGCCAATCAGCCTTAAGAATAAAGTTTTATGGTGGATCGCTCTTGGATTCTGTCCACCCTTTCCTTTGGCAATATCAAGTTTACATAATAATGAAGATCAAATCTGCAAAACTTAGTAACCCCCTATATTGCAATTTGCCCTGCCATCTTAAATTAGCTGTTTTAAAATAATTAGTGCCAGCTAGAATGCCAGTTAGATCATTTATTTCATTGAACTGATATACCGTGTTTTATCAGTTGTCTGATTATATTTCTTTCTTGTGTATCTGTTGTTACTGCATTAGAAGTTTCACTTTTTTTAGTTAGAAGTGTAGAGTTTTAGTCATGACAATTTCTTTAATTATTATTTAGTGGCTCAGTGGTTAGCGATTCTGCCCAGCACTTGCCAGTGCACTCTCTGCATGAAGTTTGTATCTGGTGTCCTCCAGATTTCTACCCACACTCCAAAGACATGCTGGGGGATTAATTGGGTGCCATCTAAACTGACCCTAGTATGTGTGTTCATGTAAGAATAGTGATCTTAGATTGTAAGCTTGTTAGGGCAAGGACTGATGTGAATGATTAATAATGAAAGTGATGTGTAAATTGATGGTGCTATAACAATGCCTGTAATAACAATTCTTGGTCAAAGGAAAATGGTGTAAGGAAACTAGAGGATCCAATATTGCGTTTTCTGCTCAGCTTGTAACACTGTTGTCTGTGAACCTTTACACTTGCACTTCATTAGCTGCTGAGACCATTCGTTCTTGTTAATGAAGAAATCAATGTAATGTCATTAAATGCTGTTTGGGTGCCCCATTAGCACAGCAAACCTTTATTTATTTTTCCCATAAACAATTGTGACCTTACTTCAATGTTAAAATGCAAAGGAATGAGCAATATGTTTCTTGTCAGGATATATTTTCTATCTGCTCTTGTAATAGTAGGTCCTTATTGTACGTTTGTCTTTCAAGATTGAAAACAATTTGCTGAGGAACCATGAGACAAGGAAGTATCTTCAGGAACAAGCCTATAGATTGCAGCAGAGTATTGTAACCAGCACAACACAGCAGGTGAGCTGTTAGAGTAATATCCTCATTGAAAAACAATAAGTGCTTTCCATAAACTGAACATGTCATTTCTATTGCTGTGTACATGACACGTATGTTAAATAGAGCACCTTTTTATGTGACCATTCATGTGTCTAGAGAACTAACAATTTAGAAAAAGATTTTGGGGGTTAAGCCTTTCTTTCAAGATTTGCTATGTACAGATGTGCTCATCAGTTTACATATGCAAGGTGGAATTTGTATGTGGACTATATTATAAGAAAACATGAGTGGTCAGACTAAACATATTTCATTCATGTTAAACTATTAGGCATTACAGAATAGCACAAACATTAACGAACCATAGAAATAAAGGAAACAATAAAATGGTCCTAAGGAAAAAAGATACACACTGCTGTTCACCAAATTGCAAACTTCCACCTAGGGGGATATCTCTACGATTACAGGTGAAAAGCATTAGGGTGAACAGTCCCTAAGTGCGGAATTCTCTTATGCTGTGAGATGGCAGTTCTGTGGATTAACGTCTGCAATTTGGTAAACAGCGGTGTCCAGCTTTCTCCTTGGGTCTGCTGTAGTGGATCGTGGACGGCTTCTGGCTTGCGCCTGCATGCATCTGGGTGTTGGAGACTTGATGTTGGAATGAGAGGTGATATTCCTTTGGGACTGAATAAAATGGTCCTGTTTAAACATTTGCATACCCATAGTTGTATATTTTGTGTATTGCCCCCTTCAGCATCAATGACAACTTGCAATCTTTTGTCATAGTTGTAAAGGAGGACCTTTATTTTTGTGTGCTAAAGCTGACCATTTTTCTTGGCAAAAAGTACCCAATGTTCTATGAATTCTTTGGTTGTTTAGCATGAACTGCATGTCTGAGATCTCCCAAAACTGGCTAAGTGATCAAAGGTCAAGACATTGCAATGGCCACCCCGAACCTTGATTAATTTTCTGCAGCAGTCACTGAAGGACTGACAGCCTTATGTTTTAGAGCCTTGCCATATTGAGAAGTCCAAGTGAACCCCATAAGAACTTTCCTGGCTGATGAATGTACATTTTCTTCTGCTGCATTCATCTTAACATAAGTTTTGACCCAAATTCCTGTGCTGTTGTAGCTCACAAACTTCCAAACAGCTCCATGGTTTAAGGTAATGACAGTGTGCTTCTCTTCATATACCTTGTTAATTGAATTTAAATGGAGCCTGTAGAGCAAGCTGGTAAATTTCTGCATTGTAAAGTTATGTTTCCAAATACTCCTAAATATTTTTTTTCTGCTTAGGTGTTGGCAAATGAATGCATGCATGTTACACACGGTGTAACAAAAACATTTTTGTATGTCATGTCTATAGATGCAAAGGTGCATTTTAGGATTAAGAGCCATTTGAGACATGGAATGGATTTCCTTTAAACTAGCTATATTGCAGAAACTGTGCTGGACATGCAGAAATTCTACTGTACTATACTACCTAAAGTATGTAAACAGCATGAAAGGATAATGATAATTGTGTAGAAATACTACTTCATACTGGTTCCCTAGCTTGTCAAGGTTGAAGGCTATGAGCAAGCTGATCTTTTTCTTTTTGAATTAGATTAGATTTCTAGTAGTTTCAAAATGTTCTTATGTTGGCTTCAATGAGAGAGACTGTGAAAAGGCCCCACAGACCTACGAACGCAGTGGAATGTGAATGTACAATCTGACCACCCTCAGGCACAATTTTTCACAGCCCCTCTAGAAGTCATAGCGCTAACAACGTTGTCTCTTTCATTCATTTATAGATGATTGACAGAATTTGTGTCAAAGTCCAAGACCATCTAAACTCCTTGCGAAACTGTGGAGTTGATTTTGTCTTAGAAGATGTCAAGTCTGCTGAGAGACTAATGCGTGATGCAAAGAATTCAAAAACAGTAAGTGCACCTTCTAAAGATTTTGCAGTGCTGGTCTTTTTAGAGTTAAAGCTGAATTCAGGCAAACCGCTAAATGCACAGATGTAATTCATATAGTAGAGCTATTTCACCTGTCAAAAGGATTTGTGCTTCTGTCCATTCAGCCCTGAGATTTACACAGCTATCCTGATTTGATTATTATCTGCTCTAGGTTTGCTTTCACTGACAGGTCTCCTCCCCACCCTGTGACTGGACAGTGAAAGCAAGAAGCACCACCACAGTAATGAGATCATCTTTCACTCTGCTCTCTCTTTATATCAGCATGTTTCTTGCACCACAACACACTTAATTGGTTGCTGCTGCTGCTGCTGCTGCTGCTGCTTTTCCTACCCCATTTTGAGCTCTGCAAAAAGCTGATGCCAAGCCAATTAAGTTACTTGCACTGCTTGTGTTTATCTGACTGTAGTTAAGCTCTAAACTTTTACAGAGGAGGTTGTAGTTGAGGAATAAGTTGATATCTTCAATACTAATATGTATCGGTTATCTTGCAGCTTTTGCCAAATTTATATCATCTTGGAGGTGCAGCATGGGCTGGAGACAACAATTTACCAACCCCAATTCAAGAGACCTTAGAATCAATGGCAGGAGAAGTGACAAGAGTTGTGGATGAGCAGCTGAAGGTATGAATGACTTTTTGATGCAGTCTTTAGTAAGGTATTTTGTAGACTATATTCTCTTTCAGAAATGGGGATTGTGACGGTTGTATCTTTACAATCAGTGCTTTCTTTCTATTTTACATTTATCTCTGTGAAAGTTGAGGATAGGTTTTGGCCTAAAACTGAACATAACATTGATGACTGTAGTGGGTGGTGGCAGGAAACCATGAGCCCTAGCCAACATACTTTGATAATTCTAGGGATTTGTTAGGAAGTAATAACAGAGATGTTTCTCAGCTACCTGCCAGCTTCAGCACTAAATTCTTAGGTTTAGGACAAACAATGTAATAAAACAATTTATTCTCTCATAAACATTAGTAGAAGTTACTACTTAATAAAATGTATTAGTCGTCTTTTTCTATCAGGTTTGGTATACATTTAATTTCTAAAAATGGTTCCAAGTTTATACTGCTTATGGGCATTATATTTATGCTACAGGGACCATGTTTTGAAATCAATTTAGCATAGAGTGAACAAATCCAGCTACCTGCAAGCCTATTGCAATGAGTCTTCTTTACAACAGCGTGGTTTATATTTGAGCCAGGCTATATGCTGGAAAAGGATAAGTGGGTAATGACATCAAAGCGTAATGCAATGCCATATAGTCTAATTGCCCATGTTCAATGCAGAGGAATCTGCCAACATGGGATTATCTATAAGCAGCCTAATGACCTCATTAGTACAAACGCAAGTGAGTGGTGTCATCTGCTTAAATAACTTATGGGGAAAATGAACCGTCTTTCCTTTTCCATAGATCATACCCTTTTGGGTGAATTATACAGGTCCTTTTATCAGTCTCTCAATGTTCTGGGTCATTTTATTATTTATTTATATATGGGTATTTTAAGCACATGTGACAACCCATGTGTAGTATATTTTCTGTACAGCATGTGTAAAAGCCCTATTGATCTGTTTTTTTTTTAACTGTTATTGAACGGTGCGTTTTATTCTGCAGAAATAATTTGTTTATGTTTTATGAAAAGGGAGCCTGAATCTACTTCTGATTAGTAATTGTGCAAAGTTTTTTTTTAATGGAAATGTATTGTTTAGTCAGATCCTTGGCCTTGCCGTTTTTTAGGTTAGCCAGTGTTGGCAGTCTAGACATATAATGAAGCTGAAAGTATTGTTAAATAGTTGTCAGGAACACTGCACACAGTAGATGGCGTCTGCGCATGCGTGCGAGCACGGCGTGACCCGCAGTGTCGGGCCGGGCCGTGCACTTTCATCCATCAGTTTGCACAGCATCCTCATATCCCATTAAAGGACAAGGCCCAAGGATTAATCGTTCATTTGGCTGACGGCTCCAACATAAAGTCCGGCCCAGTCATTCTGGAAACTATGCCTCTGTCTACTTCCACGCTCCTGGGACATAACGAACTTTTACGTCTCGATATCATTTCATCCCCATTGTTTCCCATTATTCTTGGAATACCATGGCTCAGAGCGCATAATCCCTGTATTAACTGGCAGACTAATAGAGTGGATTTCCGTTCTGCTTATTGTGCACAAAATTGTTTCCTCACTGCTGCACCTACTGTTTCCCTATGTCAGCAGGATACCAACCAAGAACTTTGCTCACTCCTTCCTCCGCATTACCATGAGTATCTTGATGTTTTCAGTAAGCAAAGAGCAGACATGTTGCCGCCTCATCGACCATATGACTGTCCCCTAGAACTACTAC